TGACAAGACAGGGTTGATAACATAAAAGTAAAGCTTTGATTATTCAAACTTACTTTTGAATTTTCACGCAGTGTTTTAAAACCTGCCATAGACATCTGACCCAGTTAGTAGGCCTTTCTTTCAAATAATATGCCCATGTCATCTTTTAAGCCACACACACACAATATAAGTTATAGTGTGCTTATCTCTTCACTGCTAACAATTTCAGCTTTTTTTTTTTTTTTAAAGATTTTATTTATTTATTTGACAGAGACACAGCGAGAGAGGGAACACAAGCAGGGGGAGTGGGAGAGGGAGAAGCAGGCTCCATGCAGAGCAGGGAGCCCGATGTGGGACTCGATCCCAGGACCCTGGGATCATGACCTGAGCCGAAGGCAGTCGCTTAACCGACTGAGCCACCCAGGCGCCCCAATTTCAGATTTCTAATGAAACCAATGATCATTAAGTTTCATATGGAAGAGTTTATTAATAATTCTGGATATCCACAATTAAATACTAACACATTTATAGACTCAGTTTTTTTTTCAGGCCACTATAAACAAGGTTTTTCTCCATTATCAGTTGCCCATATACTTCTAAAACTACAAAATATACATCATTGCCAAAGTTCTTTCTACATTTCCCTTTAAAACAAAACGTTTGGGTCTCTATAATGAAGCTTAACAACATATAAATACTGTAGTGATTATATGTGCCTTGCTCATATTACACTTTATGTCAGCACTGTGGGTCTCCCTTTTAAAAAGCAGCCACGCCAAAGAGGGTCTTTTTAGGATTTTAGTGAAAGCACACTAATACATGGTTTACTTATAGCATCTACCCTTTACAGCATTTTTAAAACCCCTGCTAAACAAACTTATTTGCTAGGTATAATGGAGTATAACGGAATCAACATTTGGATAGAGAATCAGATTTCTAGTTTAAATGCTGCCTTAGCCAAATCACATACTTACTGCAACCTCTGGTTTTATCACATGCAGTATAAAAGAACTGGATGAGCACTAAATCCACATGATTATGCAGTGATAACTTCAACTACTCATTCAACAAATATTTATAGAAAAACTAGGTTCTCTACACATTGGTGTTTACAAGTGTGTGAATAAGGCACCTTACATTTTGCTGGGGGATACACAATTTTGCTTACTGGTTAAGTGCCACAAAGGATAACAACAGAACTGACGAAGATCTAGGTTACTCAGGGCAAGTTTCCCTAAGGAATAAACATTTGAGGTGGGACTTGGTGAGAGGAGCCAGCCCTGTGAAGTTCTTGGGGGAAGAGAATTCTAGGCAGAGGAACAAGTGCAAAGACAATTCACCTTTGTGCCTTTACCAATCTATGATGCTTACCTTATTCAAAATCTGGTTTCAAACTACTTTCCATTCAATGAAGTCTTCTGTGCTTAACCCTACTTTCAAATTATGGCTTCAGTGCTCGGTTATCTATAGCCACAGTTTTAAATTCATGGTTCTGAAAATGTTAATTATTAACTGTTCTGTGTTTATTCTAGTCTCACAATAAGTCAAACATTTCAAGAGAATCCTAGCATTCTTCTATTCATCTTCCACAGTATCTTAGCTGTATTCTACACAGAAGAGAATGCTCATTAAATGTGTAGGACCAACCACTGTAAAGAAAATCAGTATTTTGTTTCTCCATTCCCAGAATAAGGTTTGGTCAGAGTGCTTCAAAAAGAACTAGAGCAACACTGTATATCTAGAAGAAAGAGCAACTAACTCATGAGTGAGAAATCTCAAATTCGATTCCCAGCTTTACCATTTACTTAGACATGAGGTTTCTAGTAAATCAAACTCTATGACCATTTGTCAATATCTGTAAAATGGGGATATTTGTCCTGCCTAACCAGGGTTGGTTGGTCACCAACTACATTCCACAAGAGATCATGTAGAGCTTACTGTGGAAACAGAACAAAAATACTGAAAATAATGAATGTGTTTTCATTTTAGAACTGGAAGAGACCTTAAATGATCATGTTTAATCCTTCATTTCACATGAGAAGTCAGACACCCAGAAAAACTAGGTTACCTGCTCAAGGCTACAGAAAATATTATGGTAGAATCAGTATGACATTCAATTTTTTAAAATACCCAGCCCAATACACTTTTTACCACATCACACTGCCTTTACCATTTTTTGCAACCTAGTCTTCAATGTACATACCTCACAATTTATTCTAACATTCTCTTCCAGAATGGTAAAAACTAGGTGGCTTAAAAAAAAAGTTTTTAAGGTTTCTGAGGCTGCGACCTCACATAATTTGAGGTCTCTGGTTTCTGAGGCTGAGACCTCACATAATTTGATATCAGAACTGAATTTAGGAAGTGCAGCCCTGGTATTACTGAGTCATAAGATTAGGAATGTAAGGATTACAATCAGCTGATGCCTTAAAAAGATGCACTAAAATATCTACTAAATGACTGCATATTTGGTCTGTGGTTGGAGTATTTTTCTTACACAATTTCTAACTGAATCAATATAATGCTGCTTCAATTACATTGTTATTTAAGAAATACAGAATATAATTTTATTTATAGACAATGTATTTGTACTATTTAAAATACTAAAAGCAATGTAAAATACTTTTTGTTTCTGGTCATTTTCTTTGTTCTCTTATTTTTGATTTTAATCTAGAAGCAAAATCTAAGTTGAGAACTAGTTATTAACTGAGTGCCTATAGTACTCTGGATTATATAACACTGTTTTAATGTGTGCAAGTAAATGTAATGGGAATTATGTAATGTTTTCAACATTAGAAAGGTCCAAATTCAATCTTTAAAGTGAAAATAAATGGGGTATTAAAAAATGAAAACTAAACTAAATAACCAGCTAATTTTAGAAATTTTCATCTGAAAACAAAAATTTACTCCTCAGGAATGTCCTAAGTATACTAATAAAGAAAGGTTGAAACAATATCTAAACTGAAAGAAAAATCTTTAGAAACATAAAACTTCATCAGAAGTTAAACAGCTTTCTGCAAAGAGCAGTAAAATGATGAATGTCCCCTCAGTAACTTCCATTCTTCCAAAAGGCAATAATGTAAAATGCTTTAGAAAGTAGTGTGAGAAAATGAAGGTTGTAAGAATCAAATGATTTAAGTCTGTGAAAGCATTTAGTAGTACAAGTTATTATTATATAACAATTTGTAGTCTACAAGTACAGCAGTTTGCCACAGAGTAGACGTAAATGCTTATTTAAAAACTGCAATTCTTCTATACTGACTCATTGAATTTTTCTTAAAAAAGAAAGTTAGCCATGAAAGCGGATCAACTATCCACTTCTGAAAAAGGAATTTATCATAGCCTCAATAGAAAACACACATCCCATACACGCAAATAAATTCCCTCCTCTTGGGCGCCTGGGTGGCTCAGATGGTTAAGCGTCTGCCTTCGGCTCAGGTCATGATCCCAGGGTCCTGGGATCGAGTCCCACATCGGGCTCCCTGCTTGGCAGGGAGCCTGCTTCTCCCTCTGCCTCTCTCTCTCTCTGTCTCTTATGAATAAATAAATAAAATCTTTAAAAAAAAAAAAATTCCCTCCTCTTTCCAAAATACGGGTCCTTCTTTTAGCCATGTGACCTTAAAGAGGGTCACTGTTCCTCTCTGGAACTCAGTTTTCTAGTAGTAAGTGTCAGGTACCATGTTGGGTGTTTTGATTTTATTGCCTAATAAGGAAGTATACAGATAAAATTAAATAGAAATTATTATCCCTGTTTTATAGTTAAGGAATAAAGCTATAATGCTCAAAGGGATTAGTTAGGAAACTTGCTTCAAATCACACTGCTAATAAGTAGTATACCTGATATATTGAACCTTCTAACTCCAAAGGCCTTGTTTATGCTACCTTGTAAAATGAGGCTGTTCTCAATGATTACTTTATGCCATAAGAAGATATGATTAAGGAATCCATTTTCTCCCAAAACATGCATAGAAAAAAAAATTATTTGTTGAATGATAATTATCTCACCACTTTAGCTTGCCACTGCCTAAAAATAATTTTGGATTTTTAGAGTAGAGATAACTCATTGAAAGTCTATAACATAGGATACACAGTATTCTTTATGGCATATATACTGCAAAATATTTAATAAATTTTTAAAATGAAGAATAAATGGTAACTGATACTATGTTCAACTAAAGCTTTAACACTTTCTAAAGTGTATCTTTAAAATATATATAGTTTTTACTTTTCTAAATTTTGTGGTCCTTAGAACCAATCTACTCTGTATATATGAAAACAAACAACATGTTAAAAGCACATTACTATCTTTCTCTAAGATAACTTAATACAGAATAAAGAATGATTTGGATTTTCTAAGAGCGATTTCTGGTTTGGTGTTATATTGTGGTTGTCACCGAAATCATTCTCTCTTCGGAATATGCTACCTTGAAACATTTTTTCATCGTAGTTTACATTACTAATGGTAAAATTTATCCAAATTAGTCCAACTGAAGGCAGACCATTTAATACTATGACTACTGTTCTATAGAATCGGCGAAACAGAACCACTCAGAAGTTGGGAAACATTTCATTTAGACATGATGATATATTTATTTATCAAGCACTTATTGAACACACATTACGTACCAGGCACTGAGCTATAAGTCGAACATAATACAATCGCTGGCCCTTAAGAACACCAAATCTCAGTGAACTGCAACTCCAAAACGACCACGGTCTTCGATGAATTGACTACATACATGTATTTAAGAACTGGTGGACCACACCATCTCACCAGTTCATCCTGCTGTTTCAGACGATCGAACTCCAGGCACCGGACCAAACACAAAAGTGCCGAAGCGAGGAAAAAGTAAGCTTTCCCAGAGCATCTGAAGGCAAAGTCCCCTCTATACCTAGCCTGTGTGGAGACTCCCGGGTGGACCCGACGGGGCCCAGAGAATCAGACGGGCCGGGGGAGGCACCTTAAGAGTCGGGACCACGCAAAGGCCGGTTCCGGTGCCCCCGTGCCGGGCCTCACTCACCTCTTCCACCTCGATCTCCTTGTAGTCGATCTCTTCAAAGTTGAGGACTTGGGAGGGGGCTTCGATCATCTCACCAGCCGAAGACGAAGAAGAGGAGGAAGCAGCGGAGGCTGTAGACATGATCCCTCGCGAAGCCCGGGGGGCCTGGGGAGGCTGCCACCCGGACACTCCGGGGGAGCCCCGCGCCCACCCGCCTCCGGACCGACCTTCAGACTGAAGCCACGGCTATCCGTGGCGGGTACAGGGACAGCGGCCACAGCCGAGTCCCGGCTCCGGCTCCGCTGCGTTTTCCGCCGCCGGGCCCCGCCCACTGAACTTCCGGTTCCGGCCTGAAATCGGAAATTGGAGGAGGGCTGTGAGCTCAAGAAAGGGGAGGGGAGAATTTTGTGACTGAGACAGGGAAAGGAAGGACAGATTGGGGGTGGGGTGGGTGAGAGTGAGTGGCGGGCTTGGAACTGCAGAACAAATTTCGCGAGATCTTTATTAAAGGGCCTCAGCATCGGGTGATACCGCGAGAGCTGATGCGCTGACGTAATTAAAATGCGCGAACGGAAGTGGCGCGGAGTAGGACGAAATATTAATGCGGTTGGTCGTTCAGAGACCAGCGGGAAAGATAAAAACTAAGGTTTCAACTCTGGTAAACTGTGTTAGGGCTCCGCTCCCTTTTGTCTCAGAGACCTGCGGACGGATGGGCTAGTGTTGGACTAAGTTTTTGTGACGAAGCTTTTTAGTTTAACCTCTAAGCTAAACTGAACTATTTAAGAAGCCTTGGGAAATGTGTTTCCCTCAATGCGGTGTATGGAAGGAAGCAGTTGCTACTGTTACTTTGAGCCAGTCCCTGATGCTATAAGAGATTCTAAAGAGAATAATACAGAGCGAGTCAACGCATGTAACCTGAATAACACTGTGTAGGCTGAGTGCACACGAACAGAAGTTAATATTAGGTAAGGTAGATATTTATAACTTGGCATAACTTGTATTCATTTGAAGTTGTGGGTTGTATTAATTGTACTTATAGAGTGCGGAGCACTCAGGTGCTTTACGTTTATAATTTAATCATCAGTATCCTTGCAAATTAAATATTTTGGCTACCATTTTAAGGACATGAGAAAATAAGCTCAGAGAGATGAAAAAGATTATGAACCTCACAGGCTAGTAGAAGCTAGGTCAGTGTAGCTCCAAGGTGAATAGTGTTGTGCTATCAATACCATTTTTAGTTTTAAACTAGCCTTTAAACTTTATTTAGTCGATTTGAACCAAAGCCTAACTGGGAAATTGGAGTTAAAAATGAAGGCTTAAGGACCAAAGATGAAACCCTATAAATGTCAAATTCTAAGACTCATAGGGTAAGAGACAGAAAAGGAACAGTCAGGGGGAAGTGAGAGGAATGGTGATGGGAATATCACTGGGGGAGAGCTTTCCAATTAAAGAGTAGCCAACCCAATAAATGCTGTACAGAAGTAAGTTAAACACATTTGGGATAGCAAATGGGTCATTGGATTTGGAAATTAAGTTTTGAACTGAAAAACATCGGTCATTTTTTTGTAGTTCTGGTAATAATGATAGTTTGGTGAATAGCTATAAAAAGAATGAAAGAATTTCTTCTCCATATACACTCTGGATGATACACAGTGTCTTGAATACCTAGACCACTTTTATGATGACTTCCAATCTCCCAATGCTCAAATATTACCTGAATTCCCAGCCTATTGAACATCTCTATTTAGGTGTAACTTAAGCACCTAAACTCAAGATTTCAAAAGCAAATGCAAATGTTAGCCACTACAAATGTTTTTCCGTGTGCATTTTCTATCTCTGAAGGATACACTCCATCTACTCATTTGTCCAAGTGCGAAATCAGGGCTTTATTTCAACATTTAAAATGATGTTTAGTGCACTAATAACTAAACAGAAGCAGATTAAGTCAATAGGATAACTTTCATTTTCACCTGTCATTTCTGGATTTCTCAAATTAAGATGGTCACCTCTTACCTCATGCTATCACTCTGCAGGTCATTACTGCGTTAACACCTTGATCTTAATTCAGTGGGTCTACCAAGTGGAAGCACAAGAAATGTTTGTTCCATGTTCTGGTTAAATGAATAGCTTTTGCTAGTTCTCCCTTTGCCTGGAGTGTAAGGTCTGTTTTCTGTACCTTCAGTTTAGAACTAATATCCTGCTGGCAAGGGACTAATCCTTACAGCCATGATGCTATTCTGTTTGACTTCCTCTCCCCGCCCCCAACATTGTTAGAAAAAAAATCAAACACAGGAAAGTTGAAAGAATTTTACAGTGAACTCCTATATACTTACCATCAAGATTCTAACATTAACATTTTACTATACTTGCTTTATTCTATATTTGTCCATCTATTTACCCATGCACACATACTTCTATCATTTTTTTGTTGGATGCATTTCAAAGTGAACTTCCTACATGATTTTGAAATCTCCAATATTTCTGCTTCTATATTTTATCCATTGATTAGGACTTATGAGACTGATACTAAAGTCAGTTCCCCAATGTGCTTGCAGACTGCTTTTTTTGGGGGGGGGCGGGGAGGCAGGCAGGGAGGTCTGCCTGGAACCTTTTCACTAGCTTGTGATAAAGTCCCAGCATTATTCATGTCTGGATGCAGTCATCCCCAAAGTCCAGTTCACCTCCTGTGATTTGATTATGTCAATTCCCAGTTTTCATTTAAGCTGAGTCAAGTTGTATTTTTGTCATTTGCAATCAAAGATTCCTAAGTAATTCAGTTTGAATCCAGAGAAATGAAGGAAGGGGGCTGAACTTATCTTAATTCACCTTAACTTTTACTTTGTATTCCCTTTAACTTCTTTAACTTTAATGAGTTAAGAATGGAAGGTTGAACCTCACAATTTAAACTTTGGTTACCAGTCTGTTGTGTCTACACAAATTTCCAGAGATACAAACAAGGCTTTTAAAGAGTCTTCATGAAGTCCCTCCCAATTTGAGCACTCTCCACCAACTACCCTCGTGTCAGTGTCTTAATAACTACTCTTTAACCTTCAACCCTGTCTTCAATTTTAACTCTTCTGCACTATACATGGGATGAGGACCAAGAGTTTTGATATCAATTTCCCACTATCTTTTTGAATGTTTTAAGTGGGATTCTCATCTTACTTGGCTCATTTTGGATATGAGGATATCTGGCACCTATTTTCATGGAGACTTAGCAGAAACAGACTAAAATAGTTCCACTTTAATATTCTGTTGCATCGGCATGTATAATACATCAGATAACGAGTTCCATATTTTGTCAGTTAATATGACGTTTGTTATGAATAACAGGAGCTCAACACATAATGGCTTAAACATTAAAAGGAATTTATTTGCCTAGTTAAGTGGAAAGTCAAGAGCTAGGACAGATTTTAGGTGTCATAAACTGATTCATAAACGTAATGATATCAATAATTTAGTTTTCATTATTGTCTTCTGCCTTTTGTGGTATTTGCCATTGCTCTAGAACAGTGTTTCTCAACCCTTTTTTCTTTATTGCTTCCCTAAGAGCCTTTTAAGATTTTTTTTCTCAATGCGCCCCCCGCCCCAGTTTTAATACCACAGATATGGTACATATCTGTTTATGGACTTTATGCCTGTTTTATGCTTTATACATAAAAAGAGTAAGATTTTTTTTTCTCTCCCCAATTTTCACCCCCATTGAGAATGTAGGCTCAAGCAGTTTCGCTTTTCATGTGACATACACACTCTCCAGTACAATGACAGAGAGTGTCTCTTTTGGTAGCTATTTCAGAAGAGCAAGGAACTTCCATTTTCAAAAAGCCCTTGGCAACTGTACCTTGAGTGAGCAATAGGAGACAGGAGGTTTGAGGTTGAAAATATCTTGTATAACTTAGACTGAGGACTCCAGGAATCATGGGCTTTGAGAAGGAGGAACTCCCAACCAGAAGAAAAATCTGAAGACCCCTAGGAGGAGCAAAGCAGGGAATGTTTGTTTGTTTGGCAACCAACAAATGTTCATTATTCATATGTCTATTCTGGTTGAGCTGTATATCTAGAAAGTATTATCTTTACTGCCTGTTCTAGAACCAAACTAGCCCAACCTGATCAAACATTATTCTTTCCAGGAAGTTCAGAAATAGTTTTCTGTTCAAATATTCAAAACTGCAATACATGAAGGATAGCCAACTCCTTAGCAATTCAATGACACAGCTGGAGAGCAGCTCCCCAAATTCATGTATTTCTCAAATATTTGAATTTATTCCATATTTGCTACTCCCTACATCTTTATCCTAGGTCTTTTGCAGCCCATGGGGCTGCTGAAGGGGTTTGTGTTTCAGATGCCCATAATGTGGATGGTAAAGTTAGGCCTGTGAAGGGGAGGGGGGGAGTAGAGGCGGGTACAGTTCCAAAGCATTCTCGACATTACATATAATGGACACTTCTGTTTGTAGCTAACGTTTTAGTTTTTACTCCCTCAGCTAAGCTGGCTGCAAGGCAACTGCCTTGATGGTGCCTTTATGTCCTACAGATAGAATCTCTGTTGTTTTTGAATATTTGATAAGAAAAAGTTCAACTGGTTTCAAAATTCATTCATATTATCACAAGAAATTTGAACATTACATTTGCATTTAAAGAAGAGGAAGAGCTGTTAGAGTCTTAAATATTTCAACTGTTGCAAATTTTAAAATGGTTCTAAAAATATTTAAACATTTTTTTCATTTCTTTTCATCAAAGAGAATAAAGTTTCTCTTTGATGATGACTATCAAGAGTTTGAAGGGAACATCCTTAAAGGTCTTGATCAGGAATTGATAGTGGGCATTTTAAGCAGAAAATCTTATATTAAAAAGTGAAATTTATGAAGGAAAATATATTAAAAATTCCTATTAAAATTTTGAAAAATATTTGATATTTATATAAATTCAATGCTTAATATCATCTCTAATGTTTTGTTTATTTTGAGAAAAGCAATTACATTCTTTTATTAAGCCCCAAATAGATACCTCCAAATTCTTCACAGTTCATCTTAGAGTATCTTACAGTGTTATTCTCTACATGAAAAATTTGAAGAAGCACTAAGAGGCTGTTAAAGTAGGTAAAGCAAGAAATAAGTAGTTTGAACAGTATAGATAGTGGCCATAAGAGTTATAGATAGATGGATAGATTTGAGAGATACTGAGGAAATGGAATGGGTGGAATTAGTGATTGACTGGATGTGGAGGAAAGAGGGAAAGAAAAGAGCAAAATAAAGAATGATTCCCAAACTTTTCACTTGTACAACTTGGATAGGAAGGATGCTATTTACAGAAGCAGAGAAGACTAGGACAAGGTTGGGGGAGAAAATAAAGAAATCAGTTTTAGACATATTGAGCTAGAGGTACCTGAGAGACTTCTAAGTGGAATTATCAAAC